CTGTTTTTACTATCTCCGATACACTTTAAATCTACCACTGAATATAAATATCAACAGGTTATGGGCCCTGACCTGCAAGAGTGGCAATAGCCATGACTTTCGTTATTTTATGAATTGCTACTAATAACAGAAATGTTGAATTTTTAAATTTGCGGGTATACCAAAAGCTTAATAAAGCATGTAAAAACAGTTTTGTATGCACCTTTTAATTCTGAACAACTCTAAACTATACAGTTTTTTCTGTAAAATGTACAGGAGGGCAGGATATTGCATAAAACTAATTTCCCATTTTCAATCCCTATGTTCCTACTTACCGTGCACCACCCGGTATATGAGCCATTTATAGCAAATAAATCAAGATACGGACCTTGCTTAACTGTTAGCCCACCTACACGTATTAACATTTCGCAGTGTTTTATAAGACCTTGTAAAATTAAATTATCAGTACTTACTAAATCCACAGCAAGTAATATAAAATAAACCCCCTACAGCCAACTTATTTAATGATAAATTTACTAAGACAATAGTAAAAGTAAACCTGTTTCTTGAATAAACGCACGCACTCGGAACTGCCTTAATAATAAATATGCTGCATCGACGCCACCTTCTCTTTTTATCTCGAGTAAGAATGCCTGCAGCGCATTCACTTACCAACTCTCTGTTTGTGCAGTTTGAATTGTTTAGGATTCGCGGTAAATCATTTCCAGATTACTTCACAACCTGAAAGGGCACATTTCCGGAGGATTCAAAATCGGAACAAGAAATTCGCGTACAAGTCAAATTTTTCTTGCAATCCAAACGGTGTTCTTTCATCCCACAATTTATGATTTTTAAATATTCCTCATTAGGGAATGCAATACCAGGATTGCGGGATCCCGAAATACCGGGATCCCGCAGCATTCTTGCGAGATTAATCCCGCACATAAATGGAGCGGGATCCCGCGGGATTTGCGGGACTGAGGAATTGGTCGACCAAGGGGACGACTCTGTTTACTTTGTTAATGAAACTGATAACGGCGAATTATTTCTTAAATAATTGTTAAACTTTTTTCGTTAAAAATGTACTATGATTTTTGAGGCACTTTAGAAGACTTTTTGTGCTTTACAGGTAAGGTTTTTTTGAGTTCTAAGTACAGGCCGAAGGTACTTTTTTGTTAAATATTGTGATAAATGGCGATTTATTTTAATACAGAAGTTAACCGCACAGAATTTCTTATTTGCCAGTTTGCGAGATCCCGCAAATTCCGGGATCCCGCGGGATTAACATCTAACAATCCCTCAAATACCGGGATTCAGATTTTGCTGCGGGATTGCATTCCCTACTAGAAACCAATTTCGAAAGAAAATTCAAAGAGCTGTAACTTTTGAACTAGTAGCCCAATCTTGGAACTGTTTGAAATTATGGATTCTACAGGCCACATTCTATAAGAAAAATTTTTTTCCGGGTCGATCTGAGACAATTTTTTTGAGGGCCTCAAAAAAAGGCAGTGTACAACCTTCCTTTTTTACCAAAAATCGACTGCACCAAAATTTCTCGGGAAAACACTTTTTCTTATTAATTTTGGTGCGTAGAATCCTAAACAATTCGTACTTTTTCGATCAGACTTCTCAATCAAAAGTTATAGACTAGAAACCAATTTCGAAAGAAAATTCAAAGGGCTGTAACTTTTGCACTAGTAGCCCAATCTTGGAATTGTTTAAAATTATGGATTCTACAGACCACATTCTATAAGAAAAATTTTTTTCCGGGTCGATCTGAGACAATTTTTTTTGAGGGCCTCAAAAAAGGAAGTGTATAACCTTCCTTTTTTACAAAAAATCGACTGCACCAAAATTTCTGCGGAAAAAACTTTTTCTAATTAATTTTGGTGCGTAGAATCCAAAACAATTCGTACTTTTTCGATCTGACTTCTCAATCAAAAGTTATAGACTAGAAACCAATTTCGAAAGAAAATTCAAAGGGCTGTAACTTTTGAACTAGTAGCCCAATCTTGGAATTGTTTAAAATTATGGATTCTACAGGCCACATTCTATAAGAAAAATTTTTTTCCGGGTCGATCTGACTGTAACTTTTGATTAACATCTAACAATCCCGCAAATACCGGGATTGAGATTATGCTGCGGTATAGCATTCCCTATTCCTCATCTTTTTAAGGGCTGTTAGACTGCTTTGTGGTTTATAGTTGGTTTATATTTGGTACATTGAACTTGACAGTTTCCCAGATACCAAAGATTGAATATCCCTGCATAATACATACACTTAATAAAATAGCATGACAAAAGTACATATTGTGTAATTTGTTATTTGAATATCCAAATATTTTGTAAAATATCGTGTTTCAAAGCCTTCATAATTTTAGGTAGGTATACAGAAGTTAAAAAATCTGCTCGAAGCTATTTTACTTTCCCCTTGAATAATTCTAATTTGAAGGGAATATTATATTTCTCTCAAAAATTGTTTTTCCTTCCTACGAAAAATTCGCAATTACGAGAACGCGTTTAGAAAGAAGTAAAACTCGTTGATTATAAAACACCAATCGCACATTTTTTTAATTTTTAATTATAGCCAACCGTTAATGAAAAGTTGCGCTTAAACCTAAATTCCAAAATTCGTAAGTGGATTAATCACAAAGTTTCGCTTTCCATTTCCGTTACAATGCGTTATTGATTTACCAAGTGCGATGTTACGAAAACTCATAAAGTGCGTTAATTATACTTGGCGAGAGTTTATCAGCGTTGCGAGTTGTCCGCTATGAGCTTTCAGTTGTTTACTGTTGCTCTACTGTAATTGTACATAGTCAAATCGACTATTCCCTAATTACTTTTCGTTTCTAAGTGGCCAATAAAATTTTACGTGATCAGGAGACATTACAGGTTAGCGTAACGAAACAGAAATTAGTAATAATACTGGCTTCATAGTATTCCTCAGTGCTTAACCTGTCAATACTATCAATAAATGTATGGGGAAGGCTTTGAGATCCGATTTTCTAATCTTTGATACCATCATTCTTTGTAGTCGATATTAGGAAAAGGTGCTGCTAAACAGTTAGGGGTGTTAAAATTCGGAGTGGAAGTTAACCGCATCTATCAGACAGAACTGGGAATGACTTATGACATATCCATGAGAAGCAGACCTATAACAACTTTGATCACCCATAAAGGCATGTTTCCCTATAAGAGTTTGATGTTCGGAGTCTGCTCCGCTCCAGAATTATTTCGACGGATACTTCTGTAGTTGGTGGTTCCATTTTTGGGTTTGCTTGTGGAATTGAATCTCTTCGGTTTCTTACTGCGGTTGTTTTCATTTGGCCAACATGATATTTTATGTACAATTCCATCTAGAATAACGTTGTAATGTAAATTTCCTGTTTGTGATGTTTGCACTCCTTATTTCCATTTATACGCCTTGTTAGTGTACCACCTTACGTGAACCTTCTTACCAATGTTGAATTTCTGAGGCATACGTGTCCTTATTCCTCTATTATCCTGTTCTGATTTTACATTCGATCGATCTTTGTCCTTTGGGTCTTATATTATAGTCAATATTCATTTTTTGTAACATTTTATCGTTGTTAATGTCGTTTGTGTATACATTTAACGCGTGATTTGAATAAATATCACCCCCATCTCTAAGTAGAGATCAACATCAACTTGATGTTTTCGTGTATTTGAATTTTTGTTTAGTAATTTTGTATTATTCGCGGATTTTAAACATTCGCCAAATGGTCTTTGGGTTCACATTTTGTACAAGTTTTAGATTTAACAAAACAATCATTGGCTTTGTGGCTTTGATCACCACATCTGAAACACTTCTCAAATAAAGAAGCTACCTCAAAAGGCTTTGCATTATTGAAATGTTTCTTTTCAAACTTTTTTTTATATTCCAATACTGCATTCATTATAAGAAGGTAGTAGATGGCGCTGTGATTGAAGTAAAAATATCCAGCACTGCGAACAGAAATAAATCAAACGATAATGTCGCCCTTTCATTCCAAGTAGGTCTGACCCCCTTAGTGAGAGGGGCTCATTCAATTTCCATAATCTTTCCTCCTTTAAGTTATCGCAATGAACCCATTTCTCCACTTTTCCCTTGAGAGGTTCGATCCCCATAGGGAAGTAAAGCGATATTTCCGATGGTATTAAAGGGACGCGTTAAATATGGTGATATGCAATTTTTGAAACACCGTAAATCATACACTTAAGTAACTACGTCGGCAACTGTATTTGTGATTTAAGGGTAAAAGTGATAATCAATAGATTTACTTATAAACATAAAGCTTCGCGGCCTGTAATTATTTTTGACCTAAATGTGATAAAAATGATAGGCTTTTAAGGAGTGGGTTACTTTACAAGCTACATAAACATTCGTTTTTAACCAATTCGGAAGTAAACAGTAGTTCTTGGTTGAGAAGGATTAATATACGTGAAATAGACTTCATTATTTAGAAATGGTGGCGTTTTCTTTATCTTTTTTGTCAAATACCAGAGTCGCATTAAATCGAATATTTGATCTTCCCTTAAATAATGCCAATCAAATTGTCACATTTAACATAATTGTTTATGTAATCGTTCTCTTCTTCGCGAAGGAACTCAAGCAATAAGCGAAATTGGGGTACTAGGAAAAATCATTTTATGTACCTTTGCTTGTCATTGACAAAACCTATAAAATAGCTTAAATAGCACACCGGACAAACAAAATCAGAAATAAATCACGTGAAAAGAAACAAAAATGATAATAATATAACTAGCAATAATAGCGTGTGACTAAATATTTTTAATTGTTATTATTACGACGATAGCTTTGGTAATTATTAACCGAGCTGGCATGCAAAGGTACTTCCTGAAACCTTTCCAGAGAATTTAATATGAATGACATTACATTAAAATATGTGCATCTGCATTAAATTAACATACAGTCGCGTGCGCCTTGAGAACGGAAGGGCACTATTAGATGTAAGGGACGATAAACTTAAATATTAATAAGTGAATAAGATCCTTACCTTTTTCATAAAGGACATTACATTAGTAGGCAGCATGGTGTATTGTCCTCGATTTAAACAAATCTAATAACCATATAACTCGAAATAATTGATGACGGTTTTATGCTTTTTCATGATTATCTCGCACAGCTTAGGCATTTTTATTGTAGACCTGAAACAAGTACCACAGTAAGTTATAATTACATTTAAATTAAATCGTTTTCGGGGTGTAACCGAATTTAATAAAATATTCTTTCCCTGCGTTTCTTCCAGGTTATTACATAATGTGACATTCTTTTTAAACTTTCTTTGTTGGCACACCAACTTTTCTTTGAATTATATATTTTCTTATGGACGTAATATCTCTAAGTACGCGTGTAATGTTAAAATAAACAAGATACCAAAAATCGTATACGATTTTCAGGAGGGAATTTTTTTGTCATTCAGGTCACATTGGGAAACCAGACTTTTAATCAGGCTCATATTCAATAGCACTGGTCCTTGAACTCGTAGAAATCGATTGGCGAAGGTTTGACATCTCTGATGTCTCTTTGCGTTTTCGAGTTAGACGAGGAACAGACTGACGGACAAAACCATCACTTATGGGGAAGTTTTTCTTTCGAAAAATTCTTCTAAAAACCAATATAATATGTACTTAGACATTTTTGCCACTCAAGAAGCACCTTGGCTGTTCCATTTTAAAGATAATTAGAAAAAATTTTTGGACAAATAAGGTTTACAAAAACCGATCGTAATTTTTTATACACAATAAATGGTTTTTTTCAAACAATCCGTAAAATTTTTACGTGGCTGCTGTTTTCAAGGTGTCGAAGTTTACGCGTAGGAAGGAGAAGCGGAATCAGACCTCGAGAAATAAGATTGTCTGGGATGTTCAAAGAAAGGATGTGTCATGTGACCGGTGTCATTATCAAATTATGTTGTTACACATTAATACTCAGAAGTCACCGAAGAAAGAGGATGCCATAGTAGAGCAGAATGTGTATCATCAGTCACTCTCAGTATCCTCCTAAATACTTTGAAAGTTAATATAGTTGATGAAACCGAGAACGCAGTCTCAGTTCGGATAATTGGAGACACCGAGAGTCAAAGCAGTTATAGAACTACTAAGGCAGCACAACAAGGAAATGGGTGTCAAAATTGGAGAAGAATTTCTCGCAAGGAGGAAAGCTGTCGTCACTCGAAAAGGAAGATAAGTTCGCAGTAGGACTAAAATCTTTACACGGAGAAACAAGCGCCTTGTTTTCAAACTGTTGGTAAAGAAGAGCTCTATGCAAGGATCAATTATGATCCTGAAGGGCCTGGGTTTAATGGACTCTAAGAAAATGGAATAATGCCCTCAAACGTCGAAATCACGTTTTAACTGAGAAGGTGGTCAAACTAGAGTGGGGACTGATAGCGACGTCTGTGGCTAACACAATCGTCTCATTGCTCCCAAGCCCGTCAGACCTTCCTGACCTGACACGAAATTTGGACACCATCGGCATAAAGGGCCCAATAAGTAAGAAGTCAAAGGCGGAGAGAGACATGGATGCTAGTAACTTCTTAAAGACGGTTCAGAGGGAGGATAATGGAGGGTGCATGATAGTTGTCCTTTGGAATCGAAAAGAGGAGTATCTCCCCACAAATCGCACAGTAAGTTAGAAGATGATGGAATCAGATACAATGGAACTAAGTGGATTGACTACGATGCAGGCTTCAATTTGTGGGAAAAAGAATGACTCATTACGGAGATGTTGGACATTTCCTACCTCCACAGTGGTACTACTTCCGTGCGGCTAGTTTTCGACGCATGATTTCATATTCGAGAAAAAACAAGTTTCTTGCTCAGGGACCCAATTTGATTGAGTTGATTTCAAATCAAAAGTGTACCTACGTCAAGAAAACAAGCCATTCCAGGAGCTTCTCTGTGGGAAGGATATGGTAGCTGTCGGGAAGTGAAAATTTAGCAGCACAATCGAGTTACCTTCGGTCTCAATTGTACATCCAGATCCTGTTGCGCAGAAGATGAGAAATTGCTTTTATGCGTTTCATCGCATGAAGAATAAGAGAGCTGCAAGAAAAAGGCAAATGCCATTATGGGAGATGCTCTAAAGTAAGTGTAAATAAACTTATTCTCCAAGTTGTGGGTTTTTTTTTCTATTATTCACGCCCACAAGCGGCGCCCAACTTGGGGCTCATATTTTATAGAACGTCACCGATCATTAGACCAAAATCAAAGATGCACCGAAAAGAAGACGCGCACACTGTAACTATTCGGATGTCCGAGGTCATTATCAAAGAGCTATTGAAAACAATCGAGCAGACGCAGCCCACCACCGGAGGATAATTCACGGAATACACCGCCCGGTTCAACGGATCCGGAGACGTCCAGGCATTAATTGACATTACCTCGACATATAGTAACTGCGTCGGACGAAAACGCCCTACGCGGACTCGCCATGCTGCTGGAGACGAAGCGGTCGCGTAGTGGCTGCGAGTCAAGAAGTTCATCATCTCCTGGTAGGATGCCACTTTCCTGCGTTTCGCCCAAAGAAAGCGGCACAGCTCTTCCGAACGCAAAAAAGCGCAACAGGCAAGACGGAATTATCCACCGCCTGTTCCATACTTGCAAGGATCGACGAGGACATCAACAAGACACTATAACTCTACATGGTTTACGGACATCTCCATCGGCGCGTCCGCCACGGAACTACGCGAAGGACGGCACCGCTACGTTGACCAGCCACCGCAACTCAAGTCTATCTAAAAGTAAGACACCCCAAAGAAACCACGCTGTGCCTACTGCAAATACCTAAGTCACACCGGGGCCGAGTGCCGAAAACGTACAGAAGACACCACCAGGTAACGTAATCGCTGCTTCTGGAATAAACGCAGAGAATGTCCGAACTGCCAACAACGAATAAGGGCCGCGCAAGTATACTAAATAATAAAAGTGTTAAGTGCTACGAGAAGTGCGTACCTCGACATAAGCGCACGGTAAAGCATCGCCGGCCACACGTGCCGCGAATTTTTCTTTCGTGACCTAAGAATTGAACATAATCCTGGGCGACAGGAGACCGCGTCCGCAACACGTGCTTATCACCGTGTGACCAGTCACGTTGAAGGACAGAACCGTCCTCACGGAGTCATTCTAATGCCAAAAGCTAGGAATCGAACGCTCCTCGTTATAGCTTTCATTCATGCCGCTATAATCATCCTCAATATACCTGAATGTTATTGGCAAGATACATTATTCAGATAATCATTTACCGAAGACACGCGAACAGGATGTCTTCTGTGCGCGGCATAAATCGACCAACCTTCACGACTTTCAAAGGGCCCTGTGATCAAGAAAATAATCGATCACTTCGGAAGTCCGAACGCAAATACGACTGATTCCCTCCAGGGAGTGATCTCACAGGAGTACCCGATTCCTCACGAATTCCACGATGCCCCACCGCCGGCGCAGAAAAAAACCTTCAGAGAATTTCCAGCTCCTACTGTTGGACGGACATGCGGAAACACATTATCGAATACTTGAGGAAGTACTAGAGCCAGCGATACCAAGCCACCAACCAAAACCGGCAGGACTATTGCAGACCCCAGCTCCTGCTAGGCGATTCGAAATTATATCCATTGAGCTATCCGAAACAAAAACCAAAGAAACGTGGATACTGATCGTGGAGGATATCGTCACACGTTGGGTGAAATTATTTGCACTGCTGGCTATACTGGTAAAATACGACCACGCCCACTGTCCGGGCAAACTAACACCATTTAGTTTTGTGATGAACGCCACTAAATGTAACGCTTCGGGATATACATCCGCCTACCACTCAACGGGAAGAGAACTAAGTACCATCAATGATTGTACCACGGACGAGAGGGCAACCATCACAGCCCAGACCTTCATACCGGATATAATACCGTATCTACTACGCTTCACTGACACCCTAAGACGCCCAGTTAAATCAGGAAGAAATTCAAACGAACTCCAAAAAACCCACGAACGCACTTAGAACGGAGGAGTAACCACATACCCCTTAAGTAAAGCCAAGAAAGCTCTAAATTCATGCCACGGAGAGACGGAGCCCTACAGAATCCTGCAAGCCTTTCGCCAACGTCTTACGAGAAAGAAGACACAAATCAAGAAAACCAATAGGCCTATTTCTAAGCTTCAAAAATCTCAAGTTTCCACTTTTTGACTATTTCATGTTATGAAAATGCAGTATCTATTCGATCAGATGCAGCGAACAAATCGGAGAAGTATTACCTGTGTGAAAAAGAGAGACAGAATGGACTTTTTAATGATTTTCGGCTTATTTTTTTTCAATTTAAGAGAAAGGATACTATTATTCCCCTCATCTACGTTATTGATTAGATATATGCACCTACAATTACCTATGTTTGTTAAAGAGCATTGTCGATTTAAGCTTGTTGATTGTGTCAACAGCTTTAATTCGCCTGGATTTATTTGAAACCCCGTTTTCGATATGCCTTACAAAGTATGAGAAGGATTTGAATTGGAGACGTTGGGTTCCAACAGTTACTGGACTATCAGAACTACAAATGTAGCCTAAAAAGTGGGTCCTATTAAGTACATGCTCGAATTGTGTTACTGTTAATATTACAATTCGAGTAAGCGCCACTTTATACCTGCTAATAACCGTTTGTACTTCGCTATGATTAATTAAAATGAAGCTCTTCTATAACTCTACACTTTGCATTGTTTCTTTCTACACTTGAAAGAAACCGACAATCCTCATAACGAAACAATAATTACCCACTCGTTTACTTTTCTTAATTGGATACTCCGTTGCTAACACGCACTTTGTTAATTAGTCGAGCCAAAACCACACCACCTCGAGTGTTTACGTCATTTTAGAAACTCATTATCCGTTTATTTCGCTTTTATATATCCAGTGCCACTTGAAGATAGCTACTTATTTACAAATTACATGCCCGATGTCGTGGGTATCGCTTTATTTTCGCAAACTTGATGAAATACGCCCTACCCGCTGTCCAAAATTATGAGTGATAACATGTCTCGTATATGCAGACTGTACTGGATTATATATACGGTTAAAATCAAATCGAGGCGTCATTGTTTCCCCTTGATATTGGAAAATGTTTTTCTACGTCTTCTTCGACAATGCACACACGCAAAATCGATGTGAACGCCGGGTTTAAAAGTAGTAACCATGTTTCACATGCTAAATACTGTAAACACGTTGCTTGCATTTGTAGCTAAATTAATTAATAATTCTTGCAATTTTCTAAAGAAAGTTTGGCATAAATTTATCTCAAATTACATTAAACTTATAACTTCCACTTGAAAATTATTAGTTTCCTTAATTATTACGAGTTCTTTAGTACAACTGAGTTAAAAATTCCATTGACAGCTCTCAGTACACATATAACGTGGGATCCAAGAAGGATTTACGTGGAGTTGCCTTTGGAGGTTCAAGTTAAATATGATTTCTCATGTAAACAAATTTAATTAAATTAATTTTCTCATCTTATATAATAGATTCTTAGATGTACGTTCAAGGCTGATGAGTGAACTTGAAATAACGAAGCTATAACAAGTTCAATTAATACAACCTTTAACAACAAGTGTAGAAAAACTATAGTGTACTACACGTTTCAAACACTAGTGTGACAAACCGTTATATTCATGTGGCAACTGCGCTTTTCAAAACCTGTTGTACAATAGATACCCAAAAATAGCTGTACATTTACCTATATTTACATAAGCAATATCTGTGTTAGGAATCTTGTTGTTTAATATAATATCTACATACAAAAATCATTACAATTTCTGTGTAGAGAATTAAACCCCAAACGCCTTATTGAAGGCATTTTTAATTTAACAAAAATCTTAGTTTGTATGTGTAGTAATCATAGGCGTAATTTTTTTAGGAATCCCAAGATCATTAATTTAGCCAATGATTTATTTCATTATAATAATCCTGCGACTAAATATACATAGATTAGGCATCTAATTCATTGCTAATCCATTTAACATTTTGCATAATTTTTATAGAAGCTGGTATATCGAGTTGGAAGAAGCATTTACGAAGCACTACATTATTTTTATTACATCCCAAACATTGTCACAGTCAGGACTCCAACATTCTGCAATTAATACACATACTGAGTGACAAATTGGATTTTCTCCACGAAATACAATATTAAACATGGCGTATTTGGTTTCAGTACTAATGTAATATAAGCGCAAACTGCAATATTTGCTCTAGGGCGGTATAAATTACACAAACCGTTATTGCTGCTCATGCGGCACGCGCACAACAATTAAATGAGGAAATTGCCCAATTATTCGCAACCCTAAACACATTTCTGTCGTTTCGCTTCCGTAAAAATTCTTTGATATTCTTTTTCCATTGCGCTAATTAAATACATGGCCCTTTACTTATATTCTTTCGCAAACCCTGTACTGAAATTGTTTGTTTATTCTAACCTCACCAATATGATCACTATGGACACCCTATAGGTGCAGAGACTTTCAGCAAAATTTAATTCGATCTATAAAACACTGAATGAAGTAATCGAATTTTAATTTAAATTAAATTAGGAAAATTAGTCGATAGTGAAACTAACGATAAGGGTGATCGTTTGATTTCGGGGGATATCGCCTTTAATTTAAATCAAAAATGTATTTGCACGCCTTTACGTTAGTTTGCACGTTAGTTTTATAATCCACTAATTTCGCTGATGTACTGGAACTTTAGGGAGGTTCCGGTTCCATAATTAGAAAATTTTACAACACCAACCTCTCATCAATTCGCAACTGGCCTGTACATTTGTAATTGGATTCATCATGCTCCAACTGAAAACATGAGTAGAATAACGTATAAATACTGTGTTATCAATTACATGGACTTTTTATTTTAAAATTAAAGGAATAAAAGCTTCCCCCGTTTTTCTGTGGTGTATAATGAATGTGTTTGTACAACGTGACCAACCCCTAAAGGAGGATTAATGTCTCGATCAATGTTGATGTGGACATTTCTCATTTCAATAAATCAGATAGAATTTTGTTACAAATAGATGAATTTAGGGGGGACTTTATCAAAGTAAAATTTAATTGATTTAGATAAATGATGGCACATGTGCAAAGTTGTAGATAAGTGTGACGTAAATAAGTACTTGCATTTGGTCGGATCTTGCCGAAGATGAACAATTATGATGGAGGTGGTTAATTTGACAGCGTACGTAACAGTCCATTGCGTCTAAATTCAAATACGCACTTTTCCGGTAGTCAACCGGTGTTTCAAAGTCTTGTTCGTCAGTTACATTAAGAAGAGAAGAAGTAATACAGGAATAGTTTCCGATTGCCGTCCAAAGTTAGTACATACGCAATTAGTTGCAAGTTATAGAAGCGAAGGTGATTTTTTCAATTTGAAATTTGGGTTTTCGTTAAACTTAAAGTTTGTATCCGAGCTGGCGCGGCGGTTCAATCGACTGTATCCTGTTAAATGGATTGGGAGCGAGACGGAGGGGAGGGCAGAATGGCCGGGAAGGGAGTCCGCGTTCAAAGGGCATGAAAACTAACAAGATGACTGAAAGTGAATATGTAATTAAAAGAAAAATTAGTACATATACATTTTACATTTACAATTAAATCACACCAGCGGGCGAAAGTAGCGGCAGTCGGCGGCAACGTGAATGCGATGTCGGTGGACCGGACGGACTGATTCGAGCGCCACCAGAAGATTAAACCCTTGCTTCTGGCCAAGGTCGGCGGTTTCGGAACGGTCTCGGAGGCTAGGCACAATCGGTAGCCGAAGACAGTCAGTTGAAGAAACGGCTTAGTCCAGATTTCGGCGGGCCGTTACGTCCAGAGAAGTAACTAGAACAGAATTACGGCATTATTGCTCTAACTGGAACGGCAGAAATAAAGCATAAATTAATTAGCGGTAGCTACGGGAAATCCAATACAGGAAAGGCAGAGCAATACTCCCCTTATAATTAACGGAATGGAAAGTATCATGCGCTTACCTTCCCAATGCTCTATGCAACACGACGAAAAATCGAAAGATCCCCCCTAAATCATGCTGTTATCTTCTATAAACTTCCCAAAATACGAAGATAAAACGTCAGAAATTCCGGCCGATCTTTTTCCGTATTTCTCTTAATCAGGCGCGCATCTGGAAGTACCCGATACGATTAATTTGGCCAACACTGTGGTAACATCATTAATTAGCTATAGTTAATTATACTCACCAAAATAGGTAAGATGAAATATCTAAATTCATAATTCTAATTAACAGCCACTGTCTCTTTGAATTTCTCGTGTCAGGCAAAATGTCTCTACGCGCGACTTTGCCGGATTCTATCCTAGTTTTGAATTAACATTGGAAACCATCGTTGGATTTTAATGGACGAAGGGAACTGAAATCATAAAATATTAATTTCTCCACTGGTTCGCCACAGCTGAGGATGCTACAATAACAATGCGGGAACAATTATAAAACTGATCATATACGGAACTAGTATCCTTATCAGTATTAGTTTTCCCTTCTAGTTCTCACCCCTAAAAGAAATAAATAAATCCGGAAGCTACAGTTGTATTGGTAACGAACTTTCATATATACCGAGTGGTTATTAGAGCTGGTAGCGGTACGGTGTATTCATAAATTCCGGTATGAAAACTGGGTGCTTCGTTACAGAGGTTGTTAGATACAGCCCTTATGAGGTCGACAGATAAAATACGGTACCTACCTATAAATATGTTTGTAAATAGGTGGGAATGGATTATTCTTGAGACGACTGTACGCGGTGTCGAAGCTACGCTAGTCGTTTTCGCAAAAGCACTCATAAGCCAATCGGTCCATTAGGCGGATCCCGAAGAAAGAAATCCAAGCCAAGAGCGAGACATCATCTTCATCGAGATAGTCATATTGCGGACGAAGGCTTTCACAGTATTTCCAAGAAAGTAAACAAAACTGCCACATTTATTCCGCATTTATTGCAGCTGCTAGTCCCCGCTTTGGAGGGTATGAGTTGTTGATATTTGAATTTTTATCATCGAAAACCCTACTCCATATTTACATTGATAATAAAGGGAAAATTCGTCTAATAATAACAGATCGATGAGCCAGCGTTTAGCGAGTAAACAATAATGCCAGCCTCGGAAGTGACTGCCATAAAAGTGTTACGTTGTTACTGATTGTAGTTCATTTGTACTGCATTGAAAAGTAAGCATTCCATTTCTTTGATATACTAGGATTTTGGAGTTGATATTTCTATTTCATCACCTACTCTTTATCACCGTAGCCGTAAACGTTTACTTTGTATCATTTTGTGTTACTCCACACAGAAAAATAGAATTCGTCTCGAGAAAAGCGTTCCACGATATCGGAATCAATGGCAATAAAGTGAATGTACAGATAAGCTTCGAGAATACCGTAAGGATTTATAAATGTCCTTACGTCAAAATTAAACGGATACTAAATGAAATTTAATAGTCGTTCTAGGAACGCAAGTGGCATTTACAAATGATGGTAATTAATATTTAAAACGCTATTTGTATATAAAATTAATGCCATTGCTTTTGTTTGTGTATTTCTTTGTAAATTTACCCTTGGGGAAAAATCGCCCCTATTTAATTATTGCTTGGAATAAGTTAGGCGGGTTGTTCCGGTCCAGGTCGTAGAGCGCGAATGGTTGGTGGTTGTTTATAACCGTGAGGATAATTGTGATAGAAACTGTAGAAAAGGTACCATTTGGCCTGAAGATAGGGAATGGGAGTATGGCTCTGGTGGTTTATATACCTAAATGTGCTGATGGTTTCATTTTCTGTGCATATACCTAATGGATGCGAAGTTACGGGGTGAGTAATTAGTGTATTATGCAGTTTATATAAATGACAAGTATCTAATGCCTGGTCTGAATTCAGATTTCAAGCAAGATTATAAGTATTATTTTAATATAAGCGACTCCCTCATGAACATTTTCCTACTATTCAAAGATGTCCCCCGTGGGAATACCCGTTTTACCTT